TTCAGTTATGAAAAAAGAGGATAAAGTAGATTGAGTCTCTAGTTAAGTGTCTTACTTTTCATTTTTACATGCGGGCACTTAGTCGTCCTTCTGTCCAAGACGAGTCTAAGATAAAGTACCGTGTCCGTTTGAGGAAGTCGATTGTTGTCAATATAAGCTGTTTTTTTTTTTTTTTTTTTTTCCCTACCCTCCAGGAATTTCTTTATTACAAAATACAATATATAAATGTTATATATACATAATTTTTTAATTTCCTTTTATTGCCCAAGGGCATTTTAAGGTAAAAAGGCTGTGCACGCTGTATGCGTACTTTGGATCTGTGGCCAGAGGCCTTTTATTATATCACTGGGCGTGAAAAGCTGTTTTTTCTAAGAGTACATAATATATGTTTGGATTTGTCGCGATTAAGTGAGAATAAAATTAAACTTAGTTTCAACGAGAACAATTACGACTAAGAAACAATAATAATTATCACTTATAGAGTTTTCATTTATATTAAATCATATCATATAATCTGCTAAAAAAAAAAACCAAAAAAAAAGAAGATAAATGTAGCTCTATAAATTTATTCAATACATCAAAATTATACCAATTTCCAAATTATGAAAACAGAATTTCTATTTTTACAAAATTAGCGCGAATAAGAGAAATATTTGAGTAAGTTGGATTTGAACCTTTGTAATCACAAGTTTTTTTTTTTTACATTATAAAAAAATACAGAATCATATTCACAGCATTATAATGCGGGATGAAAAAGACATTATTATAAAAATACAAATACTAGAATCAGACTTTCTAATCTATATAATTTTCATGAGTTGAGTTTCAAAGCAATAACCAATTTCAGTTAAAAATACCAGTGGTTTACCATTTCTCAATCCGACTTTCTGTTGTAATATCCACACAATTTGTAACTACTGGGTTTCTTCTGTAGTTATTATTTTGGTAATTAACGGTATATATCTATACATATTTTTTTTGTGTGTAGTAATCAATAGACACACCCTATTATAAAAACATCATGTTCCTGAGGTTGATTCTTTTGAAAATGGTAGCAAAACCTATGATTTCATAGGACACGTTTTTCCTCTTCAGTGCAATCCCCACTACAGGAGATCAACTGCGGCTAGCCAGCTAGCTTTCACTTTTGTACAACTTTACCGCAATACTGGTCTCTTTCACGGTTCTCTTGCCATTTTGCAAATGTTTTAATAATATGGAAATTTGAATACATACACCAATAAATATTTCATTAATTTATAACAAATAAATAATAATCCGTTTATTCGTGTATAGAAAACCTAGAACCCATAGAGTTGAACAAAACTTTCCAAGTAAAGATAATTTAGCTAATAGAGGGAATCTCTCATGTGATAGAGAAAGTTATAGAAGTTTAAAATAATGATTATATATATATATATATATATATATATATATATATATATATATATATATATATATATATACAATAAATATGTCAATACGCCATGATAATCTGTGCATTTGACAACCTTCCCAACAACATCCCTATATGTCCAAACAAATGCAAAAACATAAATACATACAAGAAAATAAATACAAACAAGATATAAAAAAAAAAAAATTTCAGTTAATAAGCACAGTTATGAAGAGCAAATTAAGTTCATCTGCTATCTTGAATATTAATTCATTTCCCAATGCATTAGCCCCAACCAATATCCAACACACAATAAACAACATTAATAACATTTAACTGCACAAACTAATCAAGTTTTATGATTTTTATTTTGCTTAAACACATTAAAAGTATTTTGAGGTAATTTCGGATAAGCAGGTTATAAAGAGGATATGGAAGATTGGATAAACGTAACAGATTGAGAAATCATCTTTGCGTAAAGTTTACATATTAAAGAATTCAACAAAATACATTTTTTTTTTTAATAGCAATCAACAACAAAAAAACAATTTCATTTAAACTACTAGCAACATTGAACCATAATAATTGATAGAGTAAATATAGCTCAACGTATAAAAATAATGATTACAACTACAAATGTTATAATTAAGGAAGAAGATTTAACCCCGATATAAAGAGCGAGAATATATTCATTGCTAATACAAACACCTTATTAAGTTTGACCTCAAATCTGATGAAGATTAAATTGAGGTTTTTAACCGGAAAAAAATGGTGAGGAAAGTGTTCCGGAAAAATCTGAGCTGGAGTTATTAAAAACGCATTTGAATTTTTCTTTTGATAATAAGAGAGAGTTTTCACACAACTGCGAAACGAAGAATTGCATTACCAATTTACTAACTAGTATACTATCAAAGTTCATTTAAACCTTTCCTTTTTTTTTTTATCGTAATCCATTAAATAAGTCAGTGCAGATTAGAATGTATGGCTGCTATGGGTTTAGCATAAGAAAAACATCCTATTCGGTGGAACAGATAATTTATATTTCAAAGTATCTAAGTTTAATTCTAACGCGTTTTTTGTTCGAGGGAAGAATGATCTGGATATCGTATGGCCATTCAAAGCATTAGAGATTTGCTTTCCTATTACAAAGAAAACTACTTTTATCATGCATATAAATCTAAATCCAACCATTTCTAACTTGAACCTCAATTAGAAACACATCAAGTATATGAGAATGAACTCCTGCTGTTTGGTAGTGAGTTAAGAAACCAGAGGAAGGTTCGCAATAAAAAACAAACAAGGTCAGTAAGGTTGGTTTCAATAAACAAACGGAAGGCATTATATTGAAAGAAATGACGAATTAATATTGAAATTAACCCAAAGTTAAATATGAGTCCAACAATAATAAAATGTTATCAAAGACTTAGCTGAATACCAGTGAAAGTCGATAAACTCGAAACCTATACAATTTTATGAACTTGAAAGCGATAACATCCGAATAGGTAACATGGCCTAAAGTAGTTCAACACATGAAGATTCAGCATTGGTTACATATATATTCAAGAAATAAAGATTCATTCATATTCAAATTCAATTAAAATTTTTAAAAAATGTGTATTCCGGGAATTTTTTTTTAAATTACTAATTTTTTAATTAATAATTATAATAAATATATTAAAATATATTGTTGTTTATATTACTGAAAGATTAATAAAATTACATGATAATTTGGTAAATATGGTTTATAAAATAATTTGGTCACAAAATCGAAAAAATAGAAAGCTTACAAAAATATTGGGCGTTTTGCCTCTATAACCTCGTTATTTTGACATTTTAGGGTTGTAGATACAACGGCTCAACATTTTTGAAGGCCGCCTTTTTTCTCACCTTTGTGATCAAATTACCTTAAGATCCAAGAAGAAAGCAAATGTGTTTTTACGAGTTTTCAGTACCTAATTAAATAGACAATAGTTGCCCCCCTCCTGATTGAAAACGCAATTCCAAGATTTTTCGTAAATAAAATCGTTGTAGGTTACAATGAGATGAAGCTATTCAGTTTCAGGCAGATGTTAATAATTCGATAAAAAAAAGATCTGTACCACGGTCTAGTACTTATATTGTGAGATTACTTTTAAAAAACAACAGAGAATTAAGGGGAAAAACCCTAAAATTGGTAATTATAAATTTTAAATTACCAAAACCGAAAGTTTTTCAACCACTTTCAGATATTCCAAAATCTATAAATTAAACTGTAAGTTTAATTAATAGGTTTCGGTTATATTGATATATACCAAAATAATAACCTAAAATCTCCAAAGACCATTAATACTAAGATTATTCTAAGAGTCTCACTGTTTAGACTTTCTTATTCTTAATATTTTTATTTCTAATAAAACTAATAAATAATTAATAAAGCTGAATGCAAGCAAAATAAAAACTTAAATTTGCAATATTTATGATGTGAAATCATTATTTTTTTTTTTATGGAAAATCATGTCGGAAAGATGACAAAGTTTGATGGCAAATTCTGAAACAAGGCGGACAGTGATCATAGTTTAATATCTTGCAAATCGACACCCCGAACTAACCACTAGTTGTCATAACTGTTTCGACAGAGATTGTCATTAAAAGAGATAGCGTTCGATAAATGTCACTTAATCTACTATGCAATCTTTAAAGCGAGCTGGAAATCATTTTCCCTTCCAAGAAATAAATGGAATTGTTCTCTGGATAATAGCAAAGGACCTAGCAATGAGGCAGAGATACTTGGACGACACAGCAGCGACTAATTGCCGACTGGATGGACTGCCTACCGCCGCTACAATGCAACATTCCTCTCCCCCATTGTTCACGTCTTCTTTCTTTTACCTTACTTAGCCAATGGGCGAGTAGGCCGAGATTTCCATCTCTGCGCTACTCGCATTGCATTGTTATAGCAGTCGAGATTTTTGTCACATTTTGAAATATAAATTATAATTTTATAGTTCAATTCTAATGGAATGGAGTTCATTCGGTTCGCTTGGTCTGAAGATGTGAAGATTTTTTTTTGTTTTGAAAAAGCCAGAGAACTCCACGAATTTTTTGCCTTGGCCTGAATTTTCCGGACCTTCCGAAATTTTGAGGAAAACCGCAAAAATTGTGATTTAGCCCTCTGTATGCTACAACAAATGGTATAAACCTGACCTTTGTAAGCTAATTAAAACCAAAGATATAAAATAGAAATGGATTAGATGTTTTTCTTAATTTCTAGCTTGAAAATGGAAGAAATCTAAAAGTTATTGATATCAGTTGGAAGAGCAGTAATTTAGCTTTTGAGTGGTTATAAAATTGAAATAGAAGAAAATCCTAAGGAGATATCAATATCTTTATTTGACGACCGGAATAAAAATCATTCAAGAAAATCAAGTACAAAAGAACCCTTATAACTTTATTTTTCTTAAAAAAAAATACATTTGGCCTACTTTACTGGAAGCGCTTTTTGTTTATGTAATTTATAAAGCACTATAACTCACTTAATACAATAGTCAATATTTATTTCTTATTCTACACAAAAAAACCGATTGATATACATTAACTTTAAAATCCGCACAAAACAAAAGGCAAAAATAAATAACATAAATTTTGTATGAAATTATATAAAATAGTTTTTCCTTTTGCTTCCAGGACCTTGGAAAGAACGCCGGAATACGTGTCCAATATTTTCGATATAGTATTACCGAAAAAAAAAAATTGGTTGAATCTCCCCGTGAAAGTACAAAAGATAAAAGAGGGAAACAACCACTTAAATACTTGTGGTTCCTATAGTTTGTAAAATGTCTAAACGCACCTTAACATGTATAAAATAATGTGTCTCGCTGAACGTGGTTACCGCTCTCCCCCCCCCTTCTTCACCACATATTTAATTATTCTTTCTGAAATAGAGTAGACAATGCATAAAACTCCGCATGCATGAGTCAACCAAACATCTCTTACGGTGTTAGGTGCCTTGTGGATAGCTACCAAAGGAGATAAAGAGCTAGAATGAATTAATTTAACCGAAAAATGTAAAACTAACAAACCTTTATTTATAAACAAGATACCATATTATCATAAACAACGATATTATTGTCAGTTACTTCATACCACGTGGATTTCAAGTCGGAAATTAGAATTAAACTTCGGTTTAAATAAACCGACTTGGACTACAAAAAGTAAAGTAATTTTGATTTTCATGCAAAGTGTATGTATCGGTTCTTTCATTAAAAATTCATGTTGTTTTTACCTCCCACTCATTGTGCGTTTCTTGAAAAAACCGTCACCAAAAATTGCTTTTGTTTTTAGTTCCCCTCAGTGACTTGCTTTCAGTTCATTGAAGACAGACATGAGCTATTGCCTATGGTGAAGAACATTAAACTTTCAGTATGTTTATTGTTAACTATTATGATAACTAGAACACCTAGATGCGGTGGTTAAAATGAGCACATCATTCACATAAATACAGTGGTTTTAACCCAAAGAACTATTTTGTAATGGAGTTTACTGCAAAATGTACAATAACTAGGTTCATAAAAATGTTTGTAATTCCTCTTAACAGATACCCTGACATATTGAAATGTCAATTTTGATGACAGTGGACCGGAGAATTAGAACATCACTTTCAGTGTTCAAATTCTTATTTCTGAATGTAATATAATTTTTAATTTAATTTCTATGCAATAAATATCAGTGATTCACGAGATTATTGTGATGTTTTCAGTAATGTAAAATTTGACATGATGTATTCAATTTCCTAAATTAAAATATTCGGTGAAATGAATAAGTTGTTGATGCTATAGTTCCCGAAACTGGCATTATAAATTTATTAGACCTGTTACATAAGTTGTGAATATCAGAACCCTGTTAGCAGTATGTGCGATATAGTTTCCCGGTTCCAAAAAAAAAATATGAACCCCTCTTGCGCCAGGATCGGAAAAAACCGTTTGCATTTCAAGACTGACAGAACGCTGATAATCAAACCTTATGTTTTAACTGATTTAATACTTCAGGAAGAAAACTGCTGTGAATAATAAATATCAACGATAGCAGTTTACTAGTTTCCAAATTAACTTAAAGAGCATTTCACAACTAATCTAGAGAAATAAACTTACTAACTTATAAAATTGCCCATAGTTTATCTCTATATAGAGCCCCACCATGCCAAAAACTTTTCTGTCCAAGCCTTCGTTCCTAAAGCCTCTATAATATCTCTAAAGCTCTTTCTTATGGCATAGAAAGTTATGGATTGTATTCTTATCAGTATGAGTGCAGACTTATCCAGAAATCGAAACCCATCCATTCTTTAGTTCCAGCGAGCAAAATAAATTAGAGATAAAAGTAAATTTAATTTAAGTTCAGTCAGAGTAGATTTGACCAGTAATTATTAAAGAAGAATTCAATAATTTTATAAATATAAAAAATATAGATATAAAATTTCCAGAAATGATGATTAATTCTTTCTAACTTTATTTCCATTCATCTTTTCTTTTTTTATATTTTTTTAATATGGTAAATAAAACGACTCCATTTAGTTGAAAGGATGTGCACCAATCCATCTACATTTACATTAACGGAGTGCTACCAGTGGGTTGTTTGTCAACAAGCGTTTTTATATCATTATATTTCTGTGTACACATTTGCTAGATGGCTTTACTAGATATTTATATTCTAATAAAGCAGTTCATTTTTATTCGCCTCTACCAAAGATGGCTATTGGCAGTAATTCTTAATTTTTATATTCTGCTGTATATTTTGTTTCGATTAAATATTGGAAGAGAATGACGACATCTTTTTCACTGCCTCGCAAAATATAACTCTATGTCGTGGACAACTTTAAGTTTTGTCTCTCTTTTTCGTATTGGAGACACTCTAGTAATAAGTGTTTAAATGTTGTCACACTTTTGACAGGTTGGCGCTTCGACAACTCTAAGAAGGTATCCGAGTGTAAAAAGACACTGTCCAATTAGCATTCGGCACAATATTATTTCTTCTCGATTTTCTGGATCTTGCAGTCCATGTTTTATCCTCGGTTTTTATTTCTGATAATTTGGCTCGTTTTATTTTCCATTGGCCTTCCCAATTTTCTAATAGCGTTTCTTTTGTTTCATGTATCCAATCTTCAACGGCGATGTAATTTATTGGCGTTATTCCTGATACTTCTCCCTTCCTCCCCAAAAGACCACTCATTAATCTTTTGCTCATATCCCACCATACGTTTAATATTTCTCTAATAAGGGAGTTGCTTGACCTTGAAGTTGTAAGCTACCAATAAAGTTGTAAATATCATGAATGAATACATTTTAAAATATAAATTATGAACGGAAATTATGGAAGAATATTTAAAACATTATGGTGTAGAGATGGTTGATCGTGACCCTATTTAGCTTCTCAAAATATTTATAACATATTGAACCTAAACTAAAATATCAGGCTATTCAAAAATAAATCTAAACTAAGCATGTGGAAAATATTAAGAGTATACAAACATGCTGTATAACAGTTGTCGGTCTTAAAGCAGGCCACATTCTCACTAAGCTTGTTTAAAAACAGCTGGGTCGTGTATTGCGGGGCATATGGTTTCATGGCCTCCAAATAATCAATATCCATCCATCGGATATAACAATAACTTATGATAAAAAATAAACACTTACGAAATTATGATAATTGATAATTCATAACGATTCTCTATCAGCATACATACCTGAAAAAAAGTAAAACAATCAAATTAGTTTATTTTTTTATAGGGTTAATCTAAATTATAAAAAAATATTAGTTTTCGGACATAAGCTGATAAATTATTACCTTTTTTAAGAAATTAATTTTAAATGATAAATAATATTAGTGCTATAAATGATAAATAATATTTGCGATACATTGCGTGAAACGTTTTTATAATTTTTTTTTAACAATATGGTTTCCAATAAATTATTTTTAATATGTTCTTTTCAGTTGACAGAATGACTAACTGCAATTTAAATATTTATGATTAAAGTCATTTTAATGATATATCTAGTTGGAAAACTCATAATATTTGTACAGTCAGTGAGTAAGTTGATTCCAGAGTACGTGTTTGCAGTGTTGAAATATAAGACTGTGAATAAATGTATATATCTTTCCACTAGAAATGTCACTAAAATTAATAATCGAAAATGTTTAAATTGCTGTTAGTCATTCTGTCAACTGAAATTGAAATGAAACTTTAGTTTCTAGTAATATTGCCCATACAGGGAATAAAACAGTGAAACAAAAAAGGATCTTAGGTGAGAATATATATAGAGTACTGTTGTTAATTATTAATAATATTATATTCCGACTTAATTATTAATCACGAAAGCTGCAACATGGTTTGTTCCTTACAAGGGCGTCATATTACAAGATACTATAAACACTTTAAATTAATAAAAGCTATAGTAAAGGTTTATAAGATTATATAATATATAAGTCGTTCAGGATTCCTTTAAGCGAAGATTATTAAAATATTTAAAATACGAATTTATCATATAATGTTTAAATTATCTTATATTTCTTATAGTTAATCACAGTGGCGCTTATTTGATAACAGTCAGTGATCAGACAATTGAAGTTTTCAATTCCTAAACCAAAATATTTGTATTTAATCACTTTTAATTATATGATCACAGATAATAAGGCAATAAGTTTGTAACTCGAAAAATGGTCCTTAAAATGTATGTGTATTTGTTGATCATTTTCAATTCTTGTGCAGAATACGGAGGAGATGGTACAATGGTGGATTTACACTCAAGCACTTACTTGTCTGTGGGGCAATTATTGAGGAACGACACAATTTAAATGAGTATTTTTAGATTCGTGAGCATAAGAAACCGTTCATCTAAACACACACAAATATAATAATTATTCCCAGCTAATACAAACTATAAAGAAATTATTGTTTTTGGAGATAGAGGCGGTATTATTTATCATGCAAATGGGTACCATCAAAATATCCTAAAATAAAATAAAAACTGCCGAGTATGCAAAATGCAGAATTCTTGGAAGATGATTACATACATAACTCATAAAAAACATTTTTCGGCTAACCAACTTATTCCCCGGGACTAGAAAAATATTCCTCGATATGTCATTTAATATTAATAAAACACAATGTTTCACTTAATTTTTTCTGCGCTCTCAAACAAATAATCCTATGCACTTCACCACTTGATCGTATAAACGTAATATAAAATGTTAAGCTGTATCCAGGAAACGCCTTAGGGCATAGGTCACCACTTTCTCCAGACCACACGTATGCTACGGTCAAACGTAGTTTTCTACTTCTTTGTTTAAGGGGGAAAATGTTTTCTTTTAGTAGATTCCTCTCAATAGGACAAAAAATTACTTTCTACATTCAATTTATATAACAGTAAGCGGAGGTGATTATATACCAAATAAATAATATATCGGAACTCTATAAAATCAGAACATTCTGCGCTTAGTGGAACTATATTTAAAATACAGAGTGTTTCAGGGTCAAATGGCCAAACTTCAAAAATTAACTAAGGACCTCAAAACAAGAAAAACATTTCGTCTGAAGGTAATTCCACAAACTCTTTGTTGTTTAGGAGATATTCACACCTCAAGAATTATTTGCGTTACATGAAACAAATAAAACCTATTTATTTATTCTAACTACTTTATTAATTAAAAGTAAACATTAACATTCATATTAACTGTTGTTCAAAGTGAAGGGATGTCCGCTAACGCTTTATTCAGGAGATGGATTAGAATACTAATATGGACTTTTATCCCTAACTGTATAAAAACTAAAGGCAACATAAGAATTAATACTATTTGGAATTAGCATTGAGAACTCTCAATAACATTTATCAGTTTGTAAGAGGCTTTCGCAGAGTACTCATCATTATGTCTTCCGGTGAATATGCCGATATGATGTTTGTATACGGATTCTTTTGTTAGGGGTGACATTAAACAAAAGTTTATGCACTCCGGCCAATGATCTTAATTCCTTATGAAGAAGGGTAATTGAAACTTTTGAATCACATATCCGAGCAAGAAAGAAGTCGAGCCTGTCTTAATGCTCAAGCAAATCACTTTGAACAATATTTAATATGAATTTAATGCTTATGTCTAATTAATAAAGTAATTGGAACAAATAAATAGGTTTTATTTAATTCATATAACGTAATAATCTTTAGACGTGAATATCTCCTAAACAAAGCGTTTGCTCAAATTCATAATTTCAGTTTGGCCACTTAACCCTGAAACACCCTGTTTAAAAGAATGTGTAATTTGGATATATTAATTGCGATCCATAAAAAATCTACTTACGAGGAGGAGGGG